TTGAATAAGTGATCATACTTATCTTAGAAAGTATAAAAATGATCAATTGCTGTAATAATAAAATAATTTCTTGGTACTATTATAATGAAAGGTGTCATTAAATAAAATATTAGTTAGCCTCATTTTAGTAATGCTATAAAAGTAACTTCAAAATAACTTCGAAAGAAAGTTCGAAAGGGATATTTCCTACCAAAAAAATGTTTGAAAAATCTATTTTTTAAAAAATAAAACATAAACTCAATTAGAAAAAGTAAGCATATTATAAAATTACCGGTTTGTATGGTACAGGACTTGCACATTTGTGATCTGACAAAAGAACATATAAAGAACGTTCATTATAGATCTTATGATAGTCAAAATTCTCCATTCCTATTGGCTGCAGGTAGACCGGTCCTTGAACCGGACTGAATTAGGAGCAGTTTGTGGCCCAGTTTATGAAATTTGGTCCGGTTTGTGGTCTACTACTCAGACCTGATCTTTTGAACTGAGACCAGACCAGGACGGACCGTAACATCCCTACGTAATCTTTTAAGCGCTAATGCATGGCAGGAAGGAATTTTAACCAGTACAATTCCATGTAAACAAATGGAAATGGGAAAATACCCTGGAGCATATGTTTTTCCACCAGTAAAGAGTCTCGAAAATAAATGTCCTGTAACTGGCTTAGACTTTGCATCATTGTATCCGAGCCTTATTATAGCATATAACCTCTCACCTGATAAAATAATTTTATCTCAAGGACATGCCAAATCTTTAAAGAAAAGTGGTAAAAAGCTTCATGAAATCAATTTCAAATTCAATGGTCGAGATATTGTCACATGGTCTATAGAGCATGAAAACCAAGCCAAAATGAAAGGCCTTTATCCAAAAGTATTAGAGGAGTTGCTTATTAGACGAAATTCATTAAAAAAATGTCTCGCTCCATTAAAGGATAAAAAAGAAAAGTTAGAAAAGGAGATTAGTTTGGCAGAAGCAAGAGGTGAGGCTGTTACAGATGCTTTAAAATCTGAATACTCTTTAGTTTCCTTTAATATCGCTTGTCTAGATGCAAAACAACTCACTTTAAAACTTTATATAAATGCGTTTTATGGTGAAGCTGGAAATAGTGAATCTCCTTTCTTCTTGCGAGAACTAGCAGGTGGGGTAATATCAGCTGGTCAGCGAAATATCAAGCTTATTGCCGACCTTGTCAGAAGTAAAGGGTTTGGTGTAAAATACGGAGATACTGATTCATTATACTTTCTTTGTCCTAAAGGATATTTCCGAGAGTGTGATGAGAAATATGATTCAGAAGAGATATCAAAGGAAAAATATTGGGAAGATATGGTGAGAATGTCTATGAAGGTAATGAGCGACTCCATGATGAAGTAAACGATTTTCTTAAAAAAGATAATGGCTCCTCATATCTTAAAATGGTATATGAGGAGGTTTTATTCCCTGTAGTATTTACTGGGAAGAAAAAATATTACAGAATTGATCATGTAAGAGTTCCAAATTTTAAGCCAAAAAAGCTTTTTATTAGAGGGGTGGATAGAGAGAAGCGGGGACAGTCTAATCTTTTCCGCAAAATAGGAAAACATATTATAGAAAAATCTATGAGAGTAAACAATACACGTACCTTGCATCAGATTGTAGAGGATGTGCTTAAAGAAACTGTAAGGGATATTTTGCAGATAGATCTTAATGAAATAATTAAAACTGCTGTGTGGAAGCCCGATAAAAATAACAAGAGTGTACAGCGCTTCATTTCACGAATGCGAGATAGACATACCTGTGAAGAAGCAGATGCCAAACGGCTTATAAAAAAAGGCCTAACACCCGAGCCTTATCTTTATCAAATTCCAGAACCAGGTGAACGCTTTGAATATATTGTAGTTGAGAATGATTCATCACAGAAGGTAGGTGACAAAATGGAATACTCGGAAGTGGCAAGACGTCTTGGTAAAAAGATCGATATTAACTATTATCTGAAAACTGTTATCCGGCTCTGTGCGCGTTTTATAAATTATAGTGATAGATTCCAACCGTCATCTGAAATTTTACTAAAAACCTTAAAAAAGTTAAAAGATGATAATGAAGTGGATGAAGACGAAGTGGATGAAGATGAAGTGGATGAAGACGATATGGATGAAGACGATGTGGATGAAGACGAGTTATCAAAAATAAGAGACTCCTTGGCGCAGAAATCAGCTGAAAAGTGGGTTAAAGGATATATTAAAAACCTACATGAAGGTCCGAAAAAAGATGAAACTATCATATCCCATCTATGGAAAGAAGCACGTACTTATGCGAAAAATTTATATGACACTGCTTATGCTGATAAAATAGTAAAATGCTTGGGAAATGATACTTATTGGTGTTCTTTTCTCAGTGCATTAGATAAGCAGGAGGAATTTATTCGCATAAAGCTAACGACATTACTTGCAGAAATTTCCCAAGATGATATAGGGTACAGAGAAGAAATGTATAAATTAGTTACTAAGGTCGGTAAGCACAAATCTAAAGCCATGACCTTAGAAAAATATATGTTAACATATATTCAAGAAAATGGATATGAAATATTAGCTGATTTGCGAAGCACGTGGTACAAAGTAGTTGGCCTAGAAATCATATGCTATCGAGCATCATCGAAGTTACAGGGTGATAAAAAAGATAATTCATCCGAAGCAGATATAGATGAGATCATCGAATTATATAGTTAAGTACTCTTAGTGAGGTCTGGTAATTCTAGCTAAGAAAACTTAGTCATAAGGTGCTTTGTATAATATTATTTATATATTTTTTTCGTGCAATAATACCTGCTAACTTCAATTTCTATATTAGATCTAGTCATGAGATAACCACTTCCAGATACTGATCATACAGCCCGGCCTCGGATATGCCCGGAGATGTAATTCGTTAGTCTGAATGTATCAGTCACTTTTTTTCCACGAATCCCATATTTTTTTTCCAAATACAAACCATATAACTGCAATAAGAAATAAGATAAGTATGGAATATGTTATCATTGGTGTCATTAAGAAATTAGCAACGACAGAAATAGCTGGTATTAAGGGCATTATTTGGGGTGATGGCACCACTTCTGCGCCACCTACAGGAATTATTTGGGACGAAGGATTAAGAGTGGAAAGGGTCCCTTCAGGATCAAGTTGCGATGAATCGTTCATAGACGGGGGTGAGGGATTAGAGAGATCTGCTATTTCATTATCTTTCTTTGAGATTATCTCTCGGAGATGAGAATTTTCCTTTATTAAATTTAATCGTGCCGAAAACAAAGTATCTATTCCCTGACTGGCTATCCTATGTGTTGCTTCTATCCCTTTTTCCATACATTCTATTGTATATTCTTTTGAATTAAGGTCCTCTTTTACTCATTTCAATTCAAGCCTGAGAGAATCATAGGACACCTGATCTAGCTCCTTGTTTCCAATTTAGCTTCCAATTCACCTACCTTAGTTTTAAGACAAAGAATCGTGGCCTTATCAAGAGATGAAGCTTTCTGGGCTAAAGTCGCTTCTCTCTTCAATGTTTTAATAGAAGATTTGAGTGATTTTATTTCAGCTTCAAGCTCACGTTGACTCTCAGAATGAGACTTTCGTTCAGAAATAAGTTGGGATCTAACCTTAGTAGTGGATTCATTCACCTGGTCAATCTTATTTCCAATATCGGCATAGATTTGTTGATATTCCTTCTCTCGTTCTGAATACTTATCAACCAACTTTTCATTGAGATCCTTAAGTTCGGCCTTAGATCTAAGAGCAGAATATAATTTTCCTTTAAGCTCTTGCTCATATTCACCACCAAGTCGTTGACCGGCCCCCCTAAAGGAACCATCACTTTTATTATTGATATCTTTCAAGGTATATACATTGGTCATAGCCTTTTTTTGGATTAACTACTAGTATAAAAAAAAAAACATACAACTAAAAAAATTCTAGACCAAACGTATCGATTATACCAAATGAATCGAATTTACCGAAAATTTATTGATAGTATCAAATTTACCAAATATATCGAATAAATCGATTCTATCGAAAATATATCAATAATATCGAATAAATATCGAATGTATACCGAAAATATCAAAAATATACCGATAATTTTTTGAAGCATTTTTTATATCTATCTGTAAAAATGCTTCAGTATTTGCGCTCAGATGCGACCCTCTATCTCCTGAAGATATTCAAGATATTATTAAAGACAAAAATTCGATGAAGCGGGCATCAAAAGCAATGGCTAACAAATACAAAATATCAACACGATGTGTATATCAAATATGGAGAGGAGTTCATCCACTAACAAATCCTAAAGATATGTTTAGTATTCCAAAATTCCCAGATTCAGATCAGGTCAGATCTGGATCATTAGATACTGATTTGCTTCAACCACATTACGTAGAAAGTAACATTATTTTAGGTAGTAAAGCGAAAAAGACTGGAGGAAAAAAACCCAAGTCTAAGTCTGCTGGCATCTCTGAACTATCTATTATCCAGAATCAGCTAATACCTGAAAGCTCAGAAATTTTGAATATTAGCAAAGAGGATCTGAATGCATTTTATGAAAAAGAAGCTATCTGAGATGAAAAAAATAAAGCAGAAATGAATAAATGTATACTAGCTATGTAAAAGATGTTTTGGTCCCAAAGGGACCTTTTCATTTAGTTTATCATAGCATACTAATAATTTCTCATACAATTCATTAAGCTCCTCTTTAGATTTAAGAGCATTATATAACTTTTTTTTGAGCTTCTCATAATTCATGTGTTTTTTTTTTAATGGCTCATTCTCAGTTAGGTCTTGCGAGTTTTGCAAATTCTGAGAAACTTAGTCCGGAGCTGACAGATCATCACATTCGGGAGTAATATTCGCACAATTCACCTCAAGCTTGTTCTTGACTTTATGCATAGTGACCGGAATGATATAATCCTTTCTATTATGAGGGAACTTTAATTCGTTTTTAACCAATCCACAGTGCAATTATATTTCTTTAAAAGCTGGTTAGAAAATATTAAGGTTGGCTTGTTATATCTCACAACAACAAAATCTTCATAAATGATAAGTCCAGAAGCTAGAGTAATAGGTAAATCACGAACCACTCCAATAGATTCAACTGGAGCAGTAGCGATGCCACTGAGATCATGTATTTCAGACTTATCAATTTTAGCCTTTACGCGATCAACAATATTTTCGGTTACTATAAGAGGCTCTGCTCCAGAATCAAGGGTCATAGCAGGGATTTTTAAGCGCTTAATTTTACATCTCACAGTTGCAACGCTCGTGGGTGGCTCCCTCTTCTTGACGAAATCAATTTCCATAGGACCATCCAAATAGTCTTCCTCCTCTAAACTGGATTTATTCAGAGTTGAATCTTTGAAAGATGGCGGTGTGTCGTTTTGAGATTTTATCTTCTCCTGTATAGAAACTATCTGTTTGGGCACAACAGGACTAGAGTCTTAGGAAAAATATGCAGGAAAAATTAATTTAAGTTCGCTTTGGAGGATTTTACGAATAGTTTCCTCTAGTGGAGTTTCTCTCAGTTTGGCGCTAAACATCTTTTTAAGGGATGATTTCATAGAGCTAGAATCCTGCTTCACTTTTTTTTTGACTTAGCCATGTTAACGGTGATATCACCTCCAGAATCGGAGGAATCCTCTGAACTTCTATCAGAGTCAGAACTATCACTAGAAGAAGTATTAGAAGAAGAAGTACCTGAATCCGAATTCGAATCTATGGTAGCGATATTAATCTTACCCTTTTTAGACTTCTTACTTCTCTTTTTCTTCTTTCTAGAGCAATTTCGGGAATTATGTCCATATCTTCCGCAGGTGGAGCATTTGCGATCTGATGATTTCTTAACAGCACATCTAACAGCAGTTTTTATAACACTATTTAATGTTAATCCTGCTAAACTATCTGAAATATCTTCTATAGGATCATGATCATATTCATCTGCAGGGTGTTTATCAGGATTTTTTCTTAGTAAGTCACTCAAAAAGCGATTAATGACAGTATATTCCGCTCTCTTCTTAGATGATTTTTTACTATTATCTAGAGTTTTAGTCGCTCGAGACATAGTCTCTTGAAAGGATTTAATGGTAGACTGCAAATCGGCATTCTGTTGAGCTATTTAAGGTTGTGAGGAAGCTATTGTAGTTTTTATCAAATCTATGATTTTATTTCTACTTACACCTGTATTGCTTGAGTAAATATCTTTTTCATGGGATCTAGATGATGGCTTATAACTAGACTGAGATATTTTAGTAACTAATCCTAGTCTTTTTTCCAATCTGCGTATTTCAATTCATTCTAATATACTAAAAAGTTCTTCTAAGGGTTGTTCGGTACCAATACGTTCTGAATCATCCTCTAGATCAGGAGATAAGCCACATAAAAACTGACCTTTAATTTGCTCCTCATCAAGTTTAAACATTTGTTTATATTTTCTAAGTTTTGAATAAAATATTCCTAGAGGATCATCCCCTTGAGCTAATGAACCAAACACTAGACTGCGCTTTTCACTAAGCACTGTAGGATATTCATTCTTGAGCCAATATAACGCCTGTCTAATCTGTATATTATCAAATATAATAGGATTATTATTACCTGCATTTACTGCATTGGCGGGTCTTTCCAATAGACGTCCTCCAGCTAAGCTCCAATCTTCAATAAAAGCTTCTGCTAGAATTATTGAATTCCCTACCGTTACAGCATTATTAGCAGAAGTATTAGCATAGGTATGGGCTATTGAAGGATTTTTAAAACTATTGCTAGTATTCATCTGTGCTATAGTACGTACTTGAACACCAGCTATATTGGCTTGTCCATGATTTGCGAGAATATTATGAAGCTCCCATCGCTTACCAAGAATTTTTTGATCAAACCAATCTAATGCTAGTCCAGATAAACATCCTCTAAGAATACCAAAAGCTCTATCTTTTGTTGCACCAACTGGGTCCACATCTATACCAGCCAAATATGCTGATAATTGACTAATAAAAATCTCAACATCTTCATCGTGATTACCTGAAAATATTGGTGCCGGGATTGTTGCTATATTTCTTCGATTTTGTTGATTATTATTTTGAAGCGCAAAAATTTGTTGATTTAAATTTAAAATATTCTGGTGAGAATTAATTTCTCAAGCCTTCCATTTTTGATAACGATTAAATACCTAGGCGCGATTGAATTCTGACAAGCAGCCTCAGCTTTGCACTTTCAATATATTAGCTGAAGGGCTAGTTTTTCTCCTAACAATTCACCAATATGGGTCTGCTTTCTTGCTATATTATTTATCATTCTGTTTATTTGGTTTTGAGCATTAGTCCGCAACTGATCACGCTCCTGCATTGCCTGATCTCGCTCCAGCCTGTATGTATCATAATCCCCTTGTTCGTTCACCAGATCTCATTGCAGGCTAGCATATTTATGTCGAATTGATCTTGTTGCTCTTTTAATTTGAGCTTTTATAATACTTTTACATATTGTTGTATCATCTAGAGATTGGTTTATAGCGTTGGCCAATTCAGCTATTGTAGCCATGTCTAAATCAAAATTATATAAGTCTGAAGAATTTTCATCTGAATCAGATTCGTCTTCATTATTATTCCATGCTTGTGCATTTTGTAAAGCTTCTTGTATATTTATAAGTTCTTTTCTATCTCGGTATTTTAGTAATGCTAGCACAAAATTTTGGCAAAGAAGGTTAGTAATACGATTTTTTTGTTGAGTTATTTTGTTAATTCTTTTTATTTGATTATCCCTTATTGTATTTATTTCTCGTTTAAGGTGTTCATTTTCGTCTACTAATCTTGTTATATAATCTTGTGCTTTAGGCGTGTTTCCAACTGATTTAGATATCTCTTGTATTCGGGTTTTTAATTTTGTTTCGCGTTATCGAATTCTGATATTAATCTATCTTTATTAGAAATTTCTTTGTCTTTCCTTTTATTTTCTTCCTTGAGTTGGTGAACGATTCTTTTTAATTTTGAAATTTCTTCTATTAATTCTTCTTTCTCTTGTGTAGAGAGTTCGATAGCATTATTTAACTCTTCTTCAAGAAATCGTATTCTCTCTTCCCGTATTCCAATAACTCTTTCTAAGGTATATAAACGTTGTTCAAAATTTCTGTTTGATTCTGCTAATTGCGATACTACCTCATGGAGTTCTTGATTACTCTGTTATAATTCCTCCATATTTTTTATTTACTATTGTCAAAAAAGTAATGGAAAAACCAGTTATCTATATTGATCCAGATGAGACCCAGAAAATCGAAAAAAATCTTATAATGTGTGATGTATATTATCGCCCATCTGGATATTATTCCAATTCTAAATCCCTGAGAGATGCATGTAAAAAAGAGGGGCGTCAATTTCGCCTAAGTGAATGCAAAGATTTTTTAGAAAATCAGAAGTCATACCAAACCAATAAAACTTCTCCAAAATACATTCCTAGAATTAGCTATGGACGAATAACACACCCTAATTGTGTTTATCAATGCGATATACTGTTTCTCACTCATGACCACTATAGGGGTAAAAAATATAAAGCAGTACTTAACATTATAGACTGTGCCTCCTGATATAAGGCTTCAGTCCCTCTTAGATCAAAGAAAAGTTCTGAAGTTGCTAAAGCGTTTAAGAAAATATATGGCGATCGAAATAATCTATTGTCATGGCCAAAGCTTTTACAATGTGACGGGAGTCATGAATTTATAAATGAGACTTCCCGATTGATGCAAGAACATAATGTCATAATCCGAGTGATTAGTCCATATTCCCATCGAGGCCTTGCATTAGTAAAGCGTTTTAATAAGACACTCTCAAAAATTCTGTATAAGACCCAGTATGCTATTGAATCGATAACTTCCAATTCTAAATTAATAAGAGCATGGGTTAGATTTTTACCAGAAGTTATAAATTATCTAAATAACTATCCCACACATCTTATTCAAGAACTAGAATCAGAAAAGTGGGGTCTCGAACCTGTGAAAGCCATTACATTAGAACGAGTAGAATCTAGGCCATCTACAAAATATAAGCGTCTGGTTAGAAAAGATGAAATAATGTTAAAGAAAGGCGATACTGTTTGCTATCTTCTTGCTAATGCAGAATAGGAGGGGGAATGA